TGAATTCTGCCTCTGCACATAATCTGAACTATTACCACTTTGAATCTTTATCTTACCTTTATTTTGGGCACGTAGATTGTCACAGAACACTCATGTTCTTAATCTTTGTCATTGTAGATAATTATTAATTAACATACACATTTCTAATGAACTTTTTGAATCTGAGAGGGAAAAAAAAACAAAACATTTTTCTGATTCTCAAGAAGCATTGATAGATTTTTCCTTTTGACGATATAACTATTTGATAATTTTGTTTTTAATGGAGGAAAAACATTTTTTATTAACCTTACAAATACAATGAAGAATTTTGAAATTAATAGTGTAACTAGACTATAAGGCAGTTATGTGGTGTCTTGTATAGAAATTGTACTTTTACTTTGAAAATAGTAGATAAAAACTGAAGTGCGCATTTCAATGTTGAAAGGTAATAATTCAATTTATTATTTTTTATTTATAAATGGCTTGAGGATTCTGTTTGAATCAGAGGCATGTGAATACATTTTTGCAAATATTTTCAGTAAGAAATAAATTAGATTTATTTTCTAACTTTTATTTCTCAGATTAAAATTCAGTTGCCTTTTCTGATTGCATTCACCACAAAACTTGTATCATGGTTTTACTGAAGTAATAGGAGATTGCCATAACCATCACATGCATGTAGCCTAAAACAGTCATATAGCAAATATAAAAAGGAGTGCTTAAAAATTATCTGTATTTTTAGAAAATCTTTACATATCGTTGGAAAGTCATACAAGTAAATATTTATCACAGGCTCAGGAGCTGTATGACATGACTGCATGACTGGTAAAAGAAATTATCTGTATACATATGACATGATAAAAGCCAATGACAGATAATGGAGCCTCACAATACCATTACGAAAATTTGACCAAATCAAGGGAAGATATTACTGAAAGAGAAAAATTAGTTGATTTCACTGGAAAGCAATTACAATTCTGTCAAACAGGTACGCCCATATGACAATTTACACCTAATCGGGAGTTTTACTGCCATAGCAGCTCCTCAGAACATTACAGAATTTTCATGCCATATTAATATCTAAAGAATATTCCAGTTTAAACATTTTACACTCTGACCTGAGAAGTAGAAAATTGTCCAATACAAACAAAGCTTTTTGTATTGGATTTAAGGAATTCTTGAAACGTGACAAAAGATAAATGACTAGATTTATTTGTACTCTTAGTACTTCCCTGAAAAATTTGTCAAATAAAGATTTTAATCTTAAAACTTCATATAATCCTCCAGAGAAACTACGGCTATTTTTTATCACATAATCATTGCAAAGAGATAAATTAGTCATCAGATAAAAATGAGAATCAAGAAACTATAGTTATACTTTTACAAAATATTGTGAACTTACCAATTTTTAAACTCCATACAAACCAGATTTCTAATTGCCAAGCCAGTTATTTAATAATAAAATGATCAAAAACAAATTTAACCTAGATTAAATGAGTTGCACCTCACCAAATTGAAGAATACATCTATGAACGGGGATCTACATAAGATCACATCTTGTGTACTTACATGAAAATGATATTTAATTGACATATATATTTAATTACATGTTAAAACAATAATTTTTGCCCCAATGTGGGGAATCCATAAATATATATATTTGTTATAAAAGTTCTGATTTTAGGAAAAATGACACTGTCATCCTCTTAGAATACATATTGCTATTTAATAGGTGAAAATCAAGAAAAAATTCTATAAAACTCAAAGAGAGTTCATGCATCTCGCACTCCTAAACTATCAGTTCATAAAAGAACTCAAGATTGCCTGCTCCTTGTATCAATATGTACATAATATGATTACAATGTATTTTCCTGCTATTAAGATTTGTTTTTAAAAATAATTTCACACATATTTAAGATTTTTCTTCTTTCTCCTTATTATATCTTTCCAATTCTTTGAGAAACTGAGCTTTAGGTTTCATTACATTTGGCCTATCACCACGACACTTTGGACAGAACCATTTTCCTTTCGGTTTCGTTGCTAAAGCCACACAAGAGAAATGAAACCATTCGATTGGACAGAGGTCATTGTCACAAAGGATCATTTCACCATATGATATCTGATCACACAAACAATATGTAGGTTCGTCTGGATCAATTGCTAATTCATCTTCATGAGGAGGTGAATCATCCCTCTGTTGTTGTTGCTGTTGCTGCTGCTGATGCTGTGACTGCCGAGACTTTCGTTTCTTTTTCTTATTTGTACTGCCACCTTTCTTATGGTTTGCAGCAGTTGCATTTGAACCAGTAGCACCACTACCACCTCTTGTAAGCACAGGTTCAGAAACAGACAAAAGTTCTGTGGTATTATTGCCCTCAATCCCTGATGTCGCATCAGTGCGTGTGCGTCTGGGTCGTTTTGACTGACGTTCACCTCCCCCAGCACCACTGCCGCTTCCAGCTGTCACACCGGTACCATGATGGTGGTGATGACTATCTCTATTAGGTTCAGTGTTTTCTTGATCTTTTCCAAAATCTGAAAGATAATCATTTTATTAGACAGAAAATGAAAATACATTTGACACTAAAAAACTCACTGTTAAAATATCTCACCAAGATTTCTGTAATCTAGATCTAACTGGCGAGCTTTATTTTCAATTAAATCCTGAATTTGTTGCACTATTTGCAGTTTTTCATCACCAACTTCTTGGGCAGCTATTAGGGCTTGCTGGATTCGAATTAACGTTCGTCTTTTCGTATTTGTGTCGGTGTCACGTCGTGACATTTCTTGCTGCTGTTCTACCTCCTTCAAATATGCTACAAAACAAAATATAACAATCTTACAAATTTAAAAATTGAAAACAGTTCCACATTTCCATAGATAAAAAATTTCAAACGGCACTGAATTTCAACCATTTTCAAGGTTTAGGACGAATAGAATAGAGTAAGAAAGATACATTTCTGCATAAATTATATGTTTATAAGTGTTTAATCAATTAAGCAAATTTGCATAATTGCCAGGAAATTAATGTCGTATACCTTGATAAGTAACATCGAGTTCTCTCATTCGAGATAAGTGTCTCTGCAAGTCGTCGGGCAAATTTTCTACACAGTCCAAATAGTTTTCCACATATGTGGCAGAATACAAAGCTTCAACGGCAGCTTGGTTTAACATGTTGCATGTGTCGAAGAACTTCTACGGTAACACAAGAATTTTCTGTTCCCTCATTAATTTTCACTGTCATAAAATACACAGATTCATAATAACGTCACTCACTACACACTAGAAACTTAAATACGTATAAAAATAACTTGTAAAACGCCTACAAACAACTGTCGATAGCGACATATTTGTTGCCATGGTAGCACTGACATCTATCGGTAGAAATGTGTATGAGGGTTTTTCATTCAATATTCAAATTTAAAGTAAAGATTATTACACTTTATGCGAATTATTTCATTGCAAATCAAAATATAATAATTAATTAACTGTATTTTGATGTTATCTGTCTTCTTATATTCTCTTCTATTTGAAGTTTTACAGCGACAGCTGATTCAACGTATACATGACGTAATGTCTCTCGTCCAATAGCATTCATAGATTGGCGAAGGTGGGTGCTAGCTGGTTCAACTTTTGCGGGATTTCACAAGCTGGTTGCCGCTGCTTGCTGGTGCTTGTTGCCGCTTCCGATTGGTACTGTTTGGAAGAAAGTACATTTTTTGAAGCAAAAATGACTTCTACTAACGTTAACATTGGATTGAGGGATGAGAGCAAGAATTCTAGCAGGTAAGAGATTCTTTTATGTCGATTTTTGTGAAGGGTGTGCTTAACGTTCTTTGTACTCGATATTCTGGAGTGCAGTCAATACCCTGTGTAGTTATTGGCGAGCAACCTATAATGTTTAATCACACCTCATTGTATTGATTATATTAAATAAATGAAATTCGTAACGTTCTATTCAGGAAGTTGTTGACAGATGTTACAATCTTCTGTAATTTCCATAAAAGACGCAGCAAGAATTTGATTTCAAACCAACTGGTCAAGCACACTTGGAGCAAGAAAAGTCCAATAATCGGTATTGTATATCTCGTATCCAAAAGATAATGCTTGAAAGTGTCTGGCCTGTGAATGCGTATTGGAACGTTAGTGAAATTGATTGAATGTAATGTTACAGCGCCTGAATGTAGTTGGTAATTTCTGGGAATCCCCTGTCGTAATGTACCTTTCAACTAGGCCAGAAACAAAGCACGTAATTGCCTTCAAAATCGCCGTCACGTAAAGTTTCTGACCTGCCGTCAATATTTTCCGTTGACCCTATGTAGTTCATCGGGCGGTACAGAGAGAGCGTGCTGCACCTTGCTGCGGCCGGAACCGGTAGATGGCAGAAGTGACTTCGATTCGAAGAGCGAAAACTGCGGTATGCTCGCGTTTGCGCTTCGAAACTCTGTTATTTGTGATTCCCAATATTTTTATTTGTTGGTAATATCGCACATCTTCTTAATACTTTTACAGGTAGTATGTTTACTTGTTCCTTTTTTGAAAGAATCGAAATATGTGAATTACATTTCGCGCCAAAATATTTCAAAAGTTTGGCATAAAGGAATTCATATGTGAAGCATGATCCTTGCATCATGGCAAACAATGTGTGGGCCGAATTACCAACCTATTTCAATACTCATTTTGGTATTTAGGATATTACCAAAATGGATCATATGATCGTGCCATGGTCTCATTGAAGTCTCGCCTTTTATTGGCTGTGCACTTCAGCACGCACTGTATAAATATCCAACGTTTATAAGTTAATGCCAGTTTCTACAAAATACAATTCAAATGTGAAATTATTATTAATATTTTGGTTAGCCCTGGAAGAGAGAGGCGAGCGTGGGATGAGACCTTCACAAGTGGGTGAAAAAATATGATTTTTAGACCATCAATACATTTTTTCCTCACTTCGTATCAGCAGCAATATTCATAAAAAATATCTCAGTTGTCTATAGTGAGGATCATAAGTTATTTTGTTGGTGAAATTTGGGTCAGATGGGGCTTAATGTCCTACAAATTGCAATGAAAACCATGAAGGATTTAGTTTTTCAGCATTGCAAAATATTTCTAATTTTCCTCTACACAATACTATTAAGTGTAAGATATGTTTAATAATTTGCCTTTTCATATATTTTGAAAATTCTGGGTCTTGTAGTAACGTGAGTAACTGAGTTGTATACAGTAAGTAAATTGCTGTGATTATGAACGGAAATAAAGTGCCAATTTTGTTACTTTGTTGAAGACTGTGTTATTTAGTCTTTGGGTGAAGATGAAGCAGTGTAGAGTATATACATACATTGACTATCTCCACAAAGACCATTTAATTATTTTTATGAAACATCGTATATTGAATGACAACTCTTCATGAGAGTGCATTTTTGTATGGAAAAAAACTAATGTATTTCGTGTTGAATAATTTGATGAGTTCAAGAAACTCAAGAATTGTTGGCATTTTTGAGAGCAAGTGCTCTATACCAAGCCTTTACCCCACAATTTTCCAAGCATTCTCTTCCTGAATAGCTTGGGTTCTTGAAATGGATATGCATTTTTTAAATAATACGTGTTGCAGCTATTTCTGCCAAAGCTAACTATCAAATGGAAAGTAATCAAGGGTGTACCCAGAAGAAGTTGCTCTTCCAGGAGTTTCGTTCTTGTACAAGAAATTTATACAATTTAAACGACATTATTTATAAATAAAACGTTTTATGAATACTTGTGTATACCTCCATGTTTTTCCTTCGTCCTAATTTCTCGTGGGGCTTTCCTCCCCCATGACGCTTGTCAATAAAAACATTAACTACATAAAATGTACATACAATTATAGTCTTAAATACCATAATATAATTTTGAAGTCGATGTAAAAACCTCATTGTAAACAAATTGATTCTGGAAGATAAATTGAAAGTTAATGAAGTTCATTTGCATACCTTTTCAGTAACAAAATTGTTTTTAAATTTAAGTCCATTATGCAATGTCTTAGAGAAGGTTTTCTCTAATGGTAGATATTTTTGGTCAAGTAGAAAATGCTCTTAAGTGAAAAACATCCTCTCTGAGTTCTTTAATACACTACATTTTCTTGAAAACTATATATATTTTTTTAATGGAAACAAAAACGGTAGGAGGAGGCGCTAATATGCGAGTATCTCGAAGTGAAGCAAAATAATTTTTCAAAACTTTTGCTTTGTTGCTACTGTTTACTCTTATGCTGTAGTTATGTTATGCGAGAAGCGACGACCCAATCGATAAACAAATCCAAAATTACAGCAGTTGCAGTTGTAGCAGTTTAAGAGATAACTACGCTACTCACTTATGAATTCAACTATATTTTCAGGTATGCCGCATTCTTGACTTACAAATTTTTCAAGTTCCAATTGCAGACGCAAATTTTCACTGTCAGATTTTAATAAAATTGTAATTTTGTTTTTCGGGCTTTCAAATAATTTCGTAAGTAAAAACGTCAAACAAGACCCCGTGAAAAGAAACGTTTTATCATTATTTTTCAAATACAGCCCCCCTCCCTTTCCAGTTTTTTGGATGAACATTTCGGAAAACGTAGGTATTTAGTTTGCAAAAAAGATTTAATACAGCGACAGCTAATTTCGTGCAGTGTTTATTGCCCCAAAAATTGCAGGGGAGATGTGGGAAATAAAATAATCCATTTGAAACATTTCAAAATTCTTTACTGGTTAAACAATGTTACAAATGTATACTCTACATCTGTAATTTTGCCGTTGTTTACAGATTGAGCGGAGGCATGGACATATATTCATTATTGTTTACACATAGAAGGATAGGTCAATATTTGTGATTCAAAATCTCTTGCGGACTGAGAAATATTTAGGGGTGGAGATTCGCAAAAGTTTTTCTTAGGGCCCATGAAATTGTGGGCCCCAAAGTATCATGGCGCTATCATAATATATATTATTTCTAAAATGTGTTATGTAAACATCCTTTTTCAATCAGTATCTCCTGTTACCAATCTGGAAATAAGGGAATATTGTAATTTGCAGGGGGAACATTTTATAAATAATTAAAATAAGATAACCGCAATGTAGGCTGCCAATGGAAAAAGGCGTATTATGAGGTAATGCTGCTCTAATAAAGTCGCTCTCGAAGTTTCAATTGAATATGATGTTAGATTCATTTGAATTGTCATATAATCTTAAATATAAGTTAAAGTACTGATGACGTGCTACGTATTGTACACATTAATTTCGCTTGTGAGGTTGATTCACATTTTTTTCACAGACGGTGTCAATGTTTTATTTAATTCAATAATTGACTCTTGATAATGTAATATCACGCTGCCTGAATTGAATTTCTTGCATTAGGTGGAAGTTAATAGAATTCTTTGAAGAAATAGGCAATATAGTACGCGCTCAAATTTTCAAATTATATTCATATATAAAATTAAGTATTTTGTAAAGAAGCCATTTGTTTATAAAGGCAGAAAAAGAAATATTAAGTGAAAGAAGAAAAAAAACCTCGGTGGGACCCTCCCCAAAGCGGAACCCCTAGCTAGTTTATTGAACTTGGGAAATCCGGCATGGCCTCGATATGGAAGGTTCGCCAAAGGCATCTCGCCCGCTGTCTCAGCTGCGCCTACCGGAAGCCATCCTATTTTGCAATTCACTTAAATCATAAATTCATAGTAGGTAAGTGGCGAGTATACTAGTTTTATTAAGGTATGATTGTGAATATCATTGTAGGAAATCGATGAGTGTTCTAGATTTCTGTGTGTTAATTTTAATGTATTCACCAAAAGTGGGAGATATAACTGGAAATCCAAGAAAGGTCGGATACATTTATTTAGACATTTTGTCGCCATCTTAGTACTCGTTCCATGTCAATAATATTTGTTAACGTGGGGACTTGCCGATTCTTTGTTAGGAGTCTTGACCGACCGTTCGCCCACGTGCTCTTGCGAGCGCCCCGTAGCCGAACTGAAAAGGGCGACTTCCGCTAGGCGCGAGGCCATGCCCGGCGGCGGGTGAGAAGGCTTTGTCTGCGCGCGGGCCGGGCGTTCAGAGCGTCGTGCTCGGTGACGTTTCTGATTTTTGTGTCGACGCGCTCCGCACCGCCCCTCTCCGACCCACGCAGTAATAACGCGCCACAAAGGCCGGCGGGCGTGGCCGCGCCGACGGATGTAGGGGTTCTGCCTGCCGCACAGGAGCAGCTTGGCGATCGGAGGGGCGTGTGGCCGGGGAGTGGAAAGTAATGTTGAGTTTTGGAAATTCCGAATTTGGCGAGTGGGATGCACCTTGTTGGGGCTTTCTACATGGTATATGGAAGAATATTAATTGCATCAGCACAAGGAATAAGGGATCAAGTCAGAAATGCCATTTTTTATTTTTATTTTGGAAAGTTGTTCTTGAGACAAGGCATATTGTACTACAAAGAAAAGAATCGTGTAGTAACTGTGATTAGACTATAAATTGCGAGCTGTGCTGCGGAGGAAGGGATCAAGTCACTGACTTATTCCGTTCCTCCTCAGTACTATAATTTTGGTTTTGAATGTTTGCCATGCGTATCACGTTATATGTATGTGTGCGTGCGTGCATGTAGTGGCGTATCTACGGCATGGCAGACGTGACACGTGCCATGGGCGCCACTCACAGGGGCGCTATCTTGGGTATACCTGCTAAAACAAATAACAATAACCCTAATGCGAAGTATCATGTCAGGAATACTTCCATTCGATGCTTGCCATGGCGCCAGAATATCTAGAATGCATGCGCCTCCGCATGCAAGCTTGCATGGTATCGCTAAGAAAAGAGTTTATAGGTTTTCAAAGCGTCTCACACCTGGCAAATGCCCGCAAGATAAGAGGTGGTAATCCTAACCCAGCTAAAATTTCTGAGCACGTGAAGAGCCTGAAGCAAAATAGAGTACATTTTTTTGTGACAACACTAAACGTGCAGCAGAGGCTGAACTTCATATTCACAAAAAATGAGCTGACAAATTTTATAAATCAATTCAAATAGCTAACGAGAATTGGGTCGTGGGCTTCTTTTTCCAAACTCTTTACAATATGCAATTTGTAATAAATTTAGCCAAATGTTGCTACAATTTATGTCGTTGGAAAAATTGTTCTAAACAAATATATTTTTAAATATTAAGTAACATTTATTGCATTTATGATTTCGATTTTCTTTAAACTCGATTCTGACGCTGCGGAGGAAGGAAACAAGTCAACATTTAAAACCAAATTCTTGTCTCAAAAAAGTTATTTAAAAGAAAGTACATTAAAATACAATTTAGTTCTATCACAGTGAATAAACATAGAAAAATTGGACAGGATAATATGAAATGTGCCTATTGTTTTTTTCCTTCTCCCTGGAAAGTTGCAAAAAAAAAGAAAAGGGTTCCCTTTTGTCCTTCGCCTGATTCAAATCTTGAGTAGGTCAATCTTTAAGAACCAAGTTGGTCACTCAGCAGGGAGTGAAACGCCAATGTTTTATTTTTGATAGTTTTCTATCAATTTTTGGAGACGAATATTAATATATAGTATCCAGAAGCCTTTCTCAGCTTCTGCTTTCAATCTTAAAACTGCGAAATGGGGGGGGGGGGGAGGCCATATATTTTTGAGAATGGTACATGGACAAATTATAAAGCAAACTACTTTCATTTTGTTGTAGCACTATCTGGCGAACCCAACTAACCCAACACTCACCAAGTTGGATACTCGGGATCACATGAAATTTCGATATAGCTGGTAGGACATTATGTAAAACCCACGTATCCAAATTTTGAAGTTGTATGAAATATTAGTGTTACATCAAGACATTCGTGACCTCTGCACCGGGCAAACAGTTGCATTGGCAGCGCCAGGAACGTCTGATCAACTGGTGTCAGATTTCTAGCGCTTTCGTTCTTGTAGTCCAGTTAATTTGTGATCAAGTGTGCCCGATTCAGGAAAAAAATCCGGATTTTTTTTCTCAACCGTTCTAAATTTTTTTGAGGGTGCTGAATTCGAATTTGTTGTTTGCCACCTCAAAAATGATTGGCTTCACTGAGGAAATTGCAAAAAAACCGCGTAACATTTCACTTTGTTTTTTGTTTTTTACTTATATCTTTAAAACTGTGTTTTAACGAAACAATTATTCTTTATGAAATTAAAGTAGATAAAATTTCATAGAAAATGCATACATTATCTTTGAATTTATAAAAGAGGGTTTAGGATGAAAAACTGTTACTTCTTTGGGCCTCTGGCAAGATCTCGCGGTGGCGCACTAGTTTCACCTGATCATGCTTGAAAACAGCTGTTGTGAACAAATAAGTCATTGCTAAATTATTAACATTCCGATACACTCATAGTCAGTAGGGACGTATTTCCTCGCGCGGAGTACCTGTACATCCTTGAAACATACAACATAAGGATCACGTGCTTTATTTTTGGTCGAGAAAGAAAATTATTTTCAATCGTTCTTCATAATTTGCATCGCTGAATCTACAACATCTCTGCAGGGCGTGACTGTGGTTTGGGTTCTGATGAAAGCTTTCATGCACATCAAATAAGCATGTGCATCAGCAGCAAACAAGTAATTTACTGCCTCTACGCAATATACTATTGAACGTCAAAAAGCATTAGGATTTCTCGCGTCATAAAACAGTTCCTCTAAATACTAATTTCTTCACAGGATATAGTAGATTTAATTTTACGTAATTTAACTTGACCCATTTCTTCTCCCTCTTATGATAAAGTATTTATGAAAATATGGTTTATCATTTAAATGATCTTGGCTGTACTGGTGACGCCGCGTCGAAGGCTGTGTTGCCGATGGTTCGACATCTTGTCGTGGTCTTCTTCAGGCAGACCAGCTCTGAAGAAGACCATGATAAGATGGTCGATACGACGGCAACAGCCTTCGTCGCGGTGTCACCCGAACAGCCAAAATCATTTACATGACTCCGGCCGCGGAAACCTAAGACTACAATTTATCATTGTTTCCTTCTTAGATAATTGCATAATTATCGGCAAATTACTGTCAAAGAATGTTGACATTTCTTTCCAAGTCAGTGATTGGCTAGTAATGAGATAAGTAATATTCGTAATTGAGAAAACAAAAATCACGTTTTTAAAACCATGCATCAGCAATTGGATATAAGCTCTGTTGTTCGCTCATTTCCACTCTCATTTTATTCTATATGTGATACTCTTTTCTTTTAACTTGAATTTACATTTCCACACATTAAATAACCTGGTTCAGTATTTCTGATTTGAACTCTAAATTTTCCTCATTTGGTGTTATTTTTACATTTACTCATTAGGCACACATTGACCGTACATATTGTAGGTACACATTTTGATGAATATATTGTATTGTACAAGAACGTATTGTAATAATTTTTCTTATATCCTTCTTGTTTTGGGTATCTAAGGCTTGGATTTACAGATATTCCGCTCTAGCAAACACGACCCTATTGATCCCGTGAGTATCGGGGTGTTAATATTTAACGATGACAATTCCTTGTTCTCAATAGCTGTTCAAACACGATAAAGGGAGATAGGATGGCTGGAAAAGACCTATTCTCTCGCTTTCGTCAGAGGCTCAAAAGTAAGTTTTTCACCGCCCTCTAGCGCCTAAACCGTCTTTCAAGAAATTGAAAGTGATGTATGCATTTTGTAGGAAATTTTATTTATTTATTTTATAAAGAACAATTTTTCGATAAAATGCATTGTTTGACGATATAAGTGAGAAAACTGAAAACAGCAAAATTTTGCATTTTCTCCGTAAGCCGAACTTTTTGATGTGGCAAACATCAAATCGAATTCAGCACCATCAAAAACATGTTAGAATCGTTGAGAAAAAACTTCAGGATTTTTTTCCTGTTTCAGATAACTTTTGACTAAACTATTAACAAAGTGATGGCAAATGCCCATATACATGGTTTCCTTTCATTTTAGGGCGTAGTAACATGAGTTCTTAATATTATACCGAAGTCTAATTGTAAGGATATCGCAAACCTACGCTATTTTTAAGAAAACTGGAAAATTAGCTCCTTAAAAAAGGCACGCCACACTTCTTTGAAAAATTAGTTTTTGCGTAATTAACCTTGAAATTATGGCATTTTCCCCCAAAACTGCTCCAAATTTTTTTCTTTAAATTTTCTAACCTTATGTAATAAAGAACGGTAAAAAAAGTTAGTTCAATTTTCTGGTATTGCTTGTTTTTTCCGAAAAATTTCAACAAAAAAATTAAAACTACAAAATGGAAGATAGAGATTTTTGCCTCAAAGTCTGTTCAAAATAGCTCTTAAAAAAGGTCAGGTACAATTTTTGAAGAAAAAACACGACTAGTTTTGGCGTAATTAGCGCCTGAAATTTACGATTTTTTTTTTCCAAAAAACTGTTCCACATTTTTTTCTTTAAATTTTCTCGACATACGTAATAAGGGACGCTACAAATATGGTGCTAGTCAGTTTCGATGTTTCATATTTTTCAAAAGTAAAAAATTGATAGCGATTTTTTTGCCTCAAAGACCGTGGTTGAAAATTAGCTTCATTAAGAAAGGGCTGCATATTTTGTTGTTGTTAGCCAAACCCACTGGCTCATAGTACCATAGCCCACCACTGGCATAGTACATTCTTTGTAAAAGTTGGTAGAGTTCGCATAATTTCTGTTTGAAATTAATGAAGCATATATAGCTGTCCCGTTATACATAACGATGGCATTGTAATGTTGCGAGAAAGTGTGTGCTGTTGAGCACCATTAGTTTTAATAATAGAAATCAGCCCGAGCATATACCGTATATTTAGTAAATACGGAAACTTAATGTATTCTGCAGTGTTAAAATAAATTTTCTACTTTCGTCCATGAATACGTTTTTTATTTGCCGAATCGTACAAACCTTTTCCATGACAATGCCAAGGGCGATATAAAATACCACTTCCAGAAAACAATGAAATGGCTGATCATTTCTGAATCCTGGAACTATATACGTTGACAAATTACTGCGGAAATGAGAAGAGAGGAGAGTAGTGACTAAAAATTAAAATAGAAAATTGCTGCGGCTCTCTCCTTTCTTTGTTATAATTGTGACAGGGTAAGTGCTTGGTAACGGATTGGGGATACCCAAAGCCCATCGCAGCATCCCTACATTAGTCGCCGACTTGATTCAAGACTATTTTCTCGCAAACCTGCTTAAAATGATAAATTTTATCAATTTTTACACAAGATTCGACCACAGCATACATATTTATACATATTATGAACATTATAATAATTCGAAATATATTTAATATATCTTTTAGCTATCTAAGATCCCATTAAAGGCAAGAGCCTCCTGCCTTTTTGAAGGGAATACTGAAGGAGTGACAGGTTGGTGAGTGAAAGGTCGAACATAAATACATCTATGCCTGAGGTGGGACGAGAACCCACGATCTGTCGGCCCGAGATCGCCAAGGACTACTGCCTTATCGATCTCGGCCATCCGGATAGGCTTAATTACAATTAATAGTTTATAAATAATTTACGTACTATCGTATGCAAATCGAACGTGGTAAATTCGACGAAGTCCTTACCGTCGATCTGGAACGAACGAATTCAGCGTGGATTAAGTGCAGCTGGTTTTGCGAAGGCGCAAGTTCGTGGATCGACGACTGATAGGCAAGAGGACACAGTTACAAAAAGTAGTGCATATAATATTTGAGTTATTCTGGAAATTGACTAACTATAAAGAACCACAGGTAGGTATCATTCTACAACTTATTCTGCGAAAGACATCTGGGTGCTGGCGCGTGTGACAATTTTAAAACGCAGTAAGTATCCATAGAAGTACCGTCGTCTACTTCAAGCTCTCGAACATGCGGTTTTCCATTTTAGTGCAACTATGTTAATGGCAATTAAGGACAGTTACTAATGTGTCCTTTCTTGTCACCGAGTGAA